TTGGAGGTCTTCTAGTCCAGCCCCCTGCTGAAGCTGGAGACTACCATTTCAGACAAGTGGCTGTCCAGTCTCTTCTTAAAGACCTCCAGTGATGGAGAACCCATGAATTCTGGTGGGAAGCCGTTCCACTGGTGAATTGTCCTCCCTCTTAGGAAGTTTCTCCTAAATTCCAGGTTGCTCCTCTCCTAGATTAGTTTCCATCCATCGTTTCTTGTCCGGCCTTCGGGGGTTTAGGAGAATAAGTTGACCCTCCTCTTCTTTGGGGCAGCCCCCGAGATATCGGAAGACTGTGATCATGTCACCCCTGAATTCTTCCATCCTTTAGAAAACCTACAACCGTCCACTTGAGGTGGCCTAGGAGATGTTGGCACCCCAAGGATCTAATAAAAAGCCTGACCTAGCCACCCCTATTTCTTACTTTTTAATTTTTGTTCCCGTGATTTGCCTGGCGCACTCCCTGCTCTCCAGATCCCTTTGCCCCCGCTCCCCAGCTGGCCTTCCTGAACGACCCCAATTTGACTCCTCCAGAGCATTCCCAGCCTCCACCCACCCACCCACCCCCAGCGTTTTCGCCCTCCCAAACTGTTCCCAAGAGAAAGAGGGAGCGGCAGTCAGCTGAAAGGTCCAGATTGACTCTCCTTCCTTCGCCAGCACGCCAGCTGCTTGGCTCTCCACCGCCAACCGAGAAAGATCCCTGCTCTGCGTCTCCAGGGAGCTCTCGGTGCTCCTCCAGAACGGAAAGGGGAGAGGCGCTGGCGACGCCAACCGTCGCCAGCCTGGCAAGGCAAGCGGGGCAGGCAGAGGAGGCTCACGGCGGCTGCTTTGCTTTCTCCTCCTTTTTTAAACCCCCTTCAAGAGAACCTGACACTCTACAGGTAGGGGATGCGGAAGGGCTGCCAGCCGGCCAGGAGGAGGGTCAGGGCAGCCGGCAGGGATACTCCAACGACTGAAGAGTGCGGGGAGGGGGATCCCCCGATTCCTAGCAAGGAAGAGCGAGAGTAAGAGAAAGAGGGGGGTAGGAGAGAGAGAGAGAGAGAGAGAGAGACAGAAAAAAGGGATTGAAAGAGAGAGAAAGAGAGAAAGAAAAAGAGCGAGAGAAAGAAAAAGAGAGAGAAAGAGAGTGTGTGAGAGAGAGAAAGAAAGAAAAAGAAAAAGCAAGAGAAAGACAGAGAAAGAGAAAGAGAGAGAGAATGAGAGAGAGTGAGTGAGGGGGGAGAGAAAGGGGGGAAAGAAAGAGGGGGAGAGAGAGAAAAAGCGAGAGAAAGAGAAAAAGAGAGGAAGAGAAAGAGAGAGAGAATGAGAGAGAGTGAGTGAGAGGGGGGAGAGAAAGAGGGGGG